GGTTGGGGTGTGGCCTGCCATTCTTTTCTGAGATAATTGATCTGATACGCTATATAGCAAACAGAGGGAAAAAATTCAAGCGGTAACAAACAAAATCGTTTCCAGCAAAAAAAATGTGATCAAGAGGTCGATGGTAAATTACCACAAGAGTGAGAAATTGCCCCAAAGGCCCACTCGTGCAAATCCAAAATCTTTAAAACATAGTGGAAAGTTCTCAGCCTCCAACTTGGCAAACAACGCCAGCGCACAATCAAGGAAACCCCACAGCATTGTTGTGCACAAACCCATGTTGACCAAAGTGGTTGGGCTATGGTTCGCTAAGCGAATGGATTGCATACTACTAAGCCTGCGCCACACGCAGCTTTGCCAAGATATTAGCTAAGCGATTTACCGAAACCTCCCACATCGAAAACCCTGGGTCTTCAATTTCAGCAGCACCAGCGTCACCCATCACGACACGTCCCCCCACAGCCTTCGAGATGTCTTCGGAAAAGAGCCACCGCCGTAAGTAGACGGCGCGACGAATTTGCATGCACACACACTGACTGAAATTCAGTCTACGTCAAGGGCCGCCACGTTAGCTACCAGCGTAGCAAGCGCAACTCGAACCCCAACATCAGCCTGCTCCAGCTCGAGGGTGTCGAAAGCACAAAGGACGCGGAGTGGTACCTCGGAAAGCGTGTCGCCTACGTATACCGCGTCGGCAGCAGCAAGTCGAACCCCATCCGCGTCATCTGGGGCAAGATCCGCCGAACTCACGGTGCGTACAATTCGCTGGGCTATGCATGACGAGCGGTGATTAATGTATAAACAGGCAACTCTGGTCTCGTTCGCGCTTCTTTCCAGCACAACCTCCCACCAAAGTCCTTCGGTGCCAGTGTCAGGGTTATGATGTACCCCAGCTCCATCTAAGGGCGGGCGATTGAAGAACATTCGGGAAGGAGTTGAGGCGATTGGGAACGGCGCGCAGCCACATCAAAATCTCTTTCAGGGCAGACTCTTTAGTTTCATCACAATGCGATAATGGTAGCATACACACTCGTGGTGGACCGGATTGCAGAGACAAGGACTGCTATCACGGTAGGGCTGATGGATAAAGTGCGGGGTCTGTTCAGGAACATTCTAGATCACCAGCCGGTAGCTGCCTTGCCTAGCTTTCTATAACATGAAGCCAACCCACACTTGACCCTCTCGCAATTTGGTCCCAACTGCATTGTCTACTGAGATATTTTGTTTGACCATAACCAAGCGCTGAGAGTTGGAACGCACGGATCGTTGTACCCTAGCTTGCCCGTGATCAGACTTGCAACTCGCAACTTTCAAAACTCCGCAAACCACCACCACCGCAACACCTACCTCAAATCAAACGCCGTCACTTATACGCACGAATATCCTTACAATATGGGTTCCGTCGTCCTCCCACACCTGCGCACCGGCTGGCACGTCGACCAAGCGATTCTTTCGGAAGAAGACCGACTCGTCTTGATCCGCTTCGGACGCGACTCGGACCCAGACTGCATGTCGCAAGACGAAGTACTCTACAAGATTGCCGACCGCGTAAAAAACTTTTGCGCCATCTATCTGTGCGACCTGGACGAAGTACCTGATTTCAAAGCCATGTACGAACTATACGACCCGTGCACCGTCATGTTCTTCTTCCGCAACAAGCACATGATGTGCGATTTTGGCACGGGTAACAACAACAAGCTCAACTGGGTTTTGGAAGACAAGCAGGAGTTTATAGATATTATTGAGACGGTATACCGGGGTGCGAAGAAGGGTAGGGGTTTGGTGGTTAGTCCTAAGGATTATAGCACAAGATATAGATACTAGAGGGCGATAGATATGAGATATGAGTTTGGAAGAGGAGGATATCGCTACGTTGGTTTTTGGATACCACTATTTTTATAAGAGATGGATCTGTGCGCACAGCGATGCGGATGCATCTGGAGTGTGGCGTTGGTAACAGCTGCTGCTTTTGATGTATGGTCGCTTCGCTAGACTCAAGGTATGACTGCGAGACAATAGGCATATTGTCATGAGAACTTTTGCTCATCCTTTTTCTTAGAAGGTTTTTCTTTTCACGCTTTCCAAGATAAATGAAGATGACGATTACGACAAGACCACAGGAGCGGTGCCGTATACGGCTTCATATTTCTACCTTTTCGTTGCTTTCCGTCACCTCGGCCTTTGGCTTTGACCATCCTTGTTCCCACAATCCTCCTCTCACTCCTCTCCATACGACTTCTAGTACTCCCCTCCTTGGCAATAATGTCGGGAAGACGACAACCACCTCGTCCTCACCTTCCACCACAATCATGAGGTAGAACCTCACTTCGAAGCCCTTAAACGCCTCGTGGATGAAGATGTCCTGAATATTGGTTGTGGGAATGAAGCGCGTTGTGGGTGTTTGGAGGTACGTCGAGGAGGTAGTGGAAGTTTGGATGCCGAGGCCACGAAGCACAGTTAGGGATTCCTCTAGAAACATTGTTAGCAATTCGTTGTTAAGGAAACAATGTGTTGAGTTGATGAGGGCGGAAATGGTAGAAATGGCGTACCAGTATAGTTTCTTCGAAAAACTAAGAATAGAGTAAGAAGCGCACTTGGAATAAGATATCGCCATTGGAACGTCTCCACCAGTTTTACTAGTTGCCCTTCTCCTTCACTGCCCAATGCGACCTGCAAGAAGAACATCGGTTGCTTATTTGCAATTTGCCATTTCATCCATAGTAGCAATCCACTCGTTAATCCAAAGAATATCCGAACAAGTATTCCTGCATAATATCCTACATGTGCTGGCAGTGTCTTGGACACAGAACGCGTCGAGACCGTGTATGTGATTGTGGTGGGCGTAGGCTGCAGCACATGCAGTGTTTGGGCGGGTGGAGAGGCGAGGCTGTGCAGGAAGCTTGACATTGTGAACTAGCTGCTATATACGTAGCGTCATCAGGAAAGTACCAAACGATGTGAACCCCAAAGCGGGATGTGGGGGAGAAAAAGAGACGGTAGGGGACAGGCAAGCGGAATGACGCGCTTGGTTGGGTGGGCTTATCGATAAGATCAATTCTGTATTCTCAGATAGGTACCTGTTTTTAGAAGTATTGCTGCTGCGGTCTGAATACATATTCCGCTCTTCCTTTTACAACCCACTCTACCTTCTACACCAACATCGCACTTGCCTCCCCAAACACCCACGCACGAACTGAGTACAAATCAACTCCAGAATAACATTTTGCTGTAAAAACAAAAGAAGACTATGGATTCCTCGAGACAAACAGATCGTGACCGGTCGCGCTCCCCAAGGCGCTCCCCAGCTCCTCGCAAACCCAAGAACTTCAGCGGCCTCAAGTACAAAGGCGACCGCGAGCGGCGCGACCCGGACAGACGGAGCGATGACAGAGACCGAGAGAGGCGACCAAGAGATTCAGACAACGACAGAAGGCGCGACGACGACCGTGATCGCCGAGCGCGCGACTCTGATCGCAACAACCGCTACCGCGACGACGAGCGCTCCTCGCATCACCGCCACCGAGACTCCAGCCGCGACCAACACCGCCGGCGCCGCTCTCGCTCCCCAAGAGACCGCAAGCCGCGCGACGCTTCCTCCACCACCACCAAGGAAAACAAAAAATCCGCCCCAGCTGCTTCGACGCCTTCAGAGCCCATGATTCTCGTCACGATAAATGACCGTCTGGGCACAAAGACACAAGTCCCTTGTCTACCCAGTGATCCCATCAAGCTGCTCAAAGCCATGGTCGCGGCAAAGATTGGGCGACCGGTCCATGAGATTATGCTTAAGAGACAGGGAGAGAGGCCGTTCCATGATAATTTGACGTGTGCGGATTATGCTATTAGTAATGGTGTGCAGATTGATTTGGAGCTGAATACTGGTGATTAGAAGGATTTGCTGTGTTATTGGATACGGGAAATGAGACTCGCAAAGGCCAGGTTTGTGACGGTTTCTAAGAAGAAGTTGGGAGCATGTTCGGAAAAGATTGAAGGAGGATACGTTTGGATACATGATACCCAGATTCGAAGAGAGGTTCTTTTTTTTTTGTTTAGTAAGGGAATCTGCAGGGCAGGATTCATGCGGCTGGAATAACAAAAAGATTTGGTTCGTAGTAAATGATGGGAATTTTGAAAAACCTGGAATTTGTTTATTTATTTATTTTTTGCGACGAATGGACTTGGGTATATATACCAACAACCTTTACTCATCCGCATCTTCCTCCTTGGCCTTCATCTTCTCAGCATCCACAATCCCCTTCCTAGCCCTATACCTCTCATTAACCACCTCGACGGCATCCTGCCTCTCCCTCTTCAAAACCTCCGTATAATTCCCCTTCGCTCGCCCAAAATCACCTCCATCAAACACTCGCGGCCCACCTCTCGCAATCCCCACACTCTGCTCCGCCAAACCCACCTCAGCATCCAGCGTGGACTTGCCCAACCCCGCAATCTTATCCAGCAAAAGCGCGGAAAGCGTCTCTTCAATCTTTTTCTCCCGCCACACCTCCCAAACATCATCTACCACACCGCCTCGCCCCCATTTCCCCTTACCAATCGACGCGGGTCCCCCACCTTTTTTCGCTGTGCCTTTAGCTTTAGGTTCGGACCCGCCTTCGTCACCCACATAGATCCAATCGAGACGATCTTCGTACCCATGCTCGCGCTCGTCAGAGCTCTGGACTTCGTCTGGGTGCGGGAAGATGCAGTCCCACAGGACGAGGGGCGCGTCACTTGCCATTTCGTATTTTGGGCGTGTGGGGTTGGCAGAGATGTCGAGTAAGACGGGAATTAAAGAGGGAGACTCGAGGCCTTGGCCGATGAGGAATAGGATGGCAACTAAGGAGCGGACTTGGTGCCAGAGGAAGGCGGAGCCGTGAAGGGTGAAGGAGTAGAGTTTTGGTTGGGTTTCTGTGTTAGTGTCGTTTGAGGCTTGGAGGGCGGGGTGGGAGAGGAAGGCTGGGATGGATAAAGGGGAGACTTCTTCGATGTCTGCGTGGAAGATGCGGCGGTGGAAGTTTGTGATTTGCTTGCTTGCGTCGATTTTGCAGAAGTTGCGGAAGTCGTGCAGGCCAATGAGGTGCTGGCAGCCTTGTTTCATGGCGTCGATGTCGAGCCAGCCTTCGCGCATTTTGGGCTTGTTTTCGGAGGATATTGGCGTGTTGGGATTGTAGAGACCTGAAGATCCGGGTACTGGTGCGAAACAGGGGTTCGTAAAGAAGTACTTGTATCGTCGTTCCTTACAGGAGAAGCGCGCACTGAAGTCTGGTGGCGGATTTGGACACCAGGCGTACACGCGGATATCAGGTGGGAGGACGCGGTTAAGTAGCTGGATGTAAGGAAGTTCATCTGTGAGGTCGTTGAAGGGCTTTGGTGGAGACTCGGGCTCTTGTTTCGAAGATAGCATTGAGTCTTCATCTTCTTGACCTGCTTTTGGAGTATCTTCTGATGGCTGAGGTTTCTTTGGCAACGGCTTGTTACTCCGGACCCTGACACCAATGACTTGTCCGAAAGCGCTCACTCCCCTGTCTGTCCTCCCGCATTTTGAATACTCGCAGCCATCCCAATTGACATCTACGCCTTCTCTATCCCAGCTTGCAAATGTCTTTTTATCAATTCTTTCATATGCCTTCTCGCCTTCGGCCGTGGTAGCTGGAGTTATCAAACGTGTTTTTACCAATGCCTTCCATAGCTCTTCCTCTATTGTCGGCAACGGTGTCGAATTGTTTTTGTGATGCTCGAACCCATTGTACTTTTGGCCGAGATATGCAAATTTGAGTGCTATCAGACGCGTGCTATATTTAGAGGCGTCAAATACTTTTGGTGGCGGTTTGACGGCCTTGCGAATTTCTAATGATTTTGGGGTATCTGTGGATAATGAAGTCTGTTGGTCCGCAGCTACAACAGGCACTGCTGAATTCTGTGTCGTAGATGCTTCAGAACCACCTGCACCTATTTGTTTTTCCAACTCTTGTATCCTTGCAATCAATTGCTGTTGAGACCACTCTTCATACCCCGCCATCTTCCTTTTTCTCCCGTGCGATTCTCGAAATAGAACACGTCGCGGCACCCTTGAAAGTTTGTGAAAGCCGCGCTGGGCACAGAACAGTTTGTGCAGTGAACGGTGGAATTCGGGAAAGGCGTGGGTGACTGGCCCACGCATTGTTTGGTGGCATGGTGGGTGACAGTCATAATTTTTGGCATGCAGCCTGACGTTCAGGGTCCAGTGCTTGTAGCCGAACAAGGCATGGCCTGATCGGCGACCCCACGTTCAGCCTCATCTCACTGACCATCTGATCGCATTCCAGACGCTGAGAATTTCCATGCTCGAATGGAGTGACAATATTAGCGCCGCTTTTTGTACGCTTTACGGCCTGATCAATGTCATTCCAGCGCATCCGCTGCGTGCATGGTCCCTGCGCCTCACCAGACCCGTCCGTCCCCGAAAAAGCATCCAGTCCGCCAACCACCTTTATCACTCACCTGTTTCGGCATCAACTCTTGCTACAATTGCATCGCATTCATTGGACTGGCCTGTGGCAGTCTGCTGGTTGCACGAGTCATGGTACGCACTAGGCTATATTCGTAGTCCTAGGCAGCCATCTAGACCAAACATCCCGCAGGCAACACTCAGGCAGCACTCAGGCACAGCCTCCTCAAAGAATATTTAAGTCTCGACAAGTCCTCACCTTTGCATACTTAGACCATCTTTCACACTACACTCTTCAATTTTCCCAAACATCAATCACCGTTTTTCGGTTTCTGCTGACGAAACGCCCGTGTTGAAGCATCTGCTTTTTTCTTGTGAACCCACTGTGTTGCTGTTGAATTTGTGACCTGTCAAGATTATTTTCATAAATTCATCAAACTTCTGAGGCTTGTTGCACTTCGGGTCGCCCTCAAAATGTTTAGCATGTATGGTCCGGCTCACGTATGTGGACTACACTACGTGATCGGATCTGATAAGTGGAACTTGCACAAGCATTTCCTTCCACAAGTCCAACTCGAAGCAAAAGCTACCATTCTTGCCACTACCTCCAAAACCGTACTCACACAGACTTTTGTCAACCCATCGACAGAGAAAGCCATCAAAGAGTGTCGTTACACCTTTCCGCTCTATGATGGTGTCAGTGTAGTAGGCTTTACCTGTCATGTCGGAGGGCGGGAAATAGTTGGTGAGGTCAAGGAGAGAGAGAAAGCAAGAGCAGTATTTCAGGATGCAGTCTCAAAAGGCGAGACGGCGGGGTTGTTTGAGCAACTACCAGATGCCTCCGACGTATTCACTACGACTGTTGGGAACATCCCTCCTGGAGCAAAAGTCATCATCGCCATCACATATCTAGGCGAACTCAAGCATGACATGGAGGTCGACGGCATCAGGTTCACAATCCCAAACATCATATGCCTAAGATATGGCGACTACCCAGGCACCTTGTGCAGAAGCTCAGCAACCGATGCGATGGGTACTAGCATTTCCATTACTGTCGATGCCGACATGGCTGATGGATCCCTCATCCGAATGATCCAGTCGCCCACACACCCCATTTCAGTGACAATGGGCTCAACTTCATTTGCTTCAGCAAACGACGATCCCGTAATGACAAAGGCATCCGCAACCCTCGCCCTAAACACCGCAGGACTGGATAAGGACTTTGTATTGCAGGTCATTGCCAAATACACCGGGGTACCCAAAGCCATCCTTGAGACCCATCCGAGAATTCCAAATCACAGAGCGGTAATGGCAACGCTAGTGCCAAAGTTTGCACTCCCTCCTGCGCGACCGGAGATCGTCTTCGTATGTGATCGCAGTGGAAGCATGCAGCTCACCAGGATTGAACTTGCGAAACAAGCCTTGAAAGTCTTTTTGAAATCGCTTCCAATTGGAGTCAAGTTCAACATATGCTCGTTCGGCTCGAGCCACTCGTTCCTTTGGGAAAAGAGTGCTAGCTACAACCAGCAGACGCTAGATGCGGCGATGAACCATGTAGATTCTTTCGCGGCGAACTATGGCGGTACGGAAATGTTGCAGCCACTACAAGCGACAATTGAGCGACGGTACAAGGATATGGATCTCGATATCATGTTGCTCACTGATGGTGAGGACTGGGGACAGGATCGGATTTTCTCTTATCTCAACGAATCTATCCAAGCAACTAAAGCCTCGATCCGGGTCTTCACATTGGGTGTTGGAAATGGCGTCTCGCATGCCATGATTGAAGGTATAGCCAAGGCAGGAAACGGATTTTCGCAATCAGTCGGCGAAAACGAGCCGATGAATGCCAAAGTCGTACGAATGCTCAAGGGAGCATTGTCTCCACATATCCACGACTACACCATGGAAGTCAAGTACAGCAATGACGAAATCTCCGCCCACCTCGACGTTGAGCCAGAAGATGATTTCGAGATTGTCGAAAAAGTATCTGATAGTCTCAAAGTCAAACTCGATCTCAAAGAACAAGGCAAACCTGAGCCAAAATCAACTGTAAGTCCCAACAACACCCAATCATTCCCGTCAACCCTCCAACTAACCAGCATAAACAGAAAACCCCAATCTCCCTTTTCGACCCCCACGCGGACCCGGACGCAGAAGAACCAACTGCACCAGACGCAACGGGAGAATCCCGCTACGCCCACCTCCCCACGCTCCCCACGCCCAAAATCCTCCAAGCGCCTCAAACCATCCCTTCCCTCTTCCCCTTCCACCGCACATCAATCTATCTCCTACTCGGCCCCTCGGCGCCCCAAGGCACACCCACATCCCTCACGCTGCGCGGCACAAGCCCGCAAGGCCCACTCGAACTCGAGATACCCATCCAGTCGCTCGCCCACCCCGGCGAAACCATCCACCAGCTGGCCGCCAAAAAAGCCATCTCCGAGCTCGAGCAAGGCCGGGGATGGCTTGCCGAAGCCACCGACGAGACGGGCGAGTTAGTGAAGAAGAAGTGCGAGGGCCGCTACGAAGACATGGTTGAGCGCGAGGCTGTGCGGCTAGGCGTGCAGTTCCAGGTAGGAGGCAAGTGGTGTTCGTTCGTAGCTGTCGAGTCCAACGCCGCGGAAGCTGAGGCGCAGCGCAAAGCAGCAGAGGGCTGGCAGTGGATGGATGATAAGGTCAATGCTGCTGCTCAGCAGGTCCAAGGACAGAGCAACCAGCAATCGGTGTCTAGATCTCTGTTTGGTGCCGCACCACCGCAGGGCAATTCGATGTTTTTTGGAGGAGGAGGGTCCCCGGTTTTGGGGCAGTGCGGGCCGCCGGTGGGTGCGATGTTTTTTGGAGGTAATACGAGTAGTACAACTGCGTTTGGGGCGTCCAACTCGATGGTCAGTGGTGGCCTGTTTGGGTCTGCCAATACAGGCGGTGGTAGTCTGTTTGGATCTGCCAATGCAGGTGGTGGTGCAGGTTTTGGGTCTTCTAACTCGAGCAGCGGCGGTGGTCTCTTCGGAGGCGGTAGTAGTACAAGTGCTTTTGGATCTGCCAATTCGACTGGCGGCGGTCTCTTTGGGAACTCTTTCAACTACGCAGCCTACAGCGCCGCTCCCCCACCCAGCAGTACTCTTTTCGGTGCAGTACCACCACCCCCTCCTCCACCAGGTACCTCATCTCTCTTCTCAGCCCAAGGTCCTGTCAGGCCCAGTGTTTCATGCGGCGCACCCGCACCCGCACCTGCACCTGCTCAGACCCAACATAACTCTGGCACTTCGCTCTTTGGTGCTCCAGCAGCACCGCCCGCCACAGGCGATACTTCGCTGCGAGACTACCAATCCGGTCTCATGCTCCTCGAGCAGCAAAATAAAAAACGGCTCCTCATGGCCCGACAAGAGCTAGATAGCCCCGATACAGCAGCAACAGCAGCAACAGCCGCAGCAGCGGACCCGCAGCTTCCTTCCCCTCCAAGCGATGAATCGCTTCTTCACTACCTCATTTCGCTACAGTCTTTCGAAGGGTCATGGTCGCTGAAACGCGAGTTACTGGGTGTCCTTGGTCTGGATGAAGGTGCTGTGAAGGCGCAGATGGACGGCGTGGATGATAGGGTGGTGGCAACTGCGCTTGTGATTGCCGTGTTTGAGGCGCGACTCGAGGGCTTGAAGGGGAGCTGGGAACTTGTGGGTGACAAGGGACGAGCGTGGTTGGAAGGTGAGGTGGGGGATGGCAATGTGGAGGAATGGGTGCAACGGGGGAAGAAGGTTCTTGCGGCATGACTAAGTTTTATTTTTTGGAAATGTAGCATGTTGAGAATTTTTAATGAGAGATATCCAATGCCTGACTTTTTGCTATAGGGGATGGGAGGGTGAGATGAGGGTATTTTTTGACTGGTCTTTGCTTTTTTTGCATGTTCTGTTTTCGTCCAAGGAGTTGTGTCTCGTACGAAGGTAGTACTTCGGCGAGGTGTAGGTTCCATAGGTACATAATTTTTTTTTCCGAGATACAAATAAAGCATACGTCATTCGACGTCGTCTTACCAAATTGCGAATTCCGAATGATGAAACAGGAGTCACTGAGGCGACTACTATCCGATACCATGACTCGGCTGTTGTAAAGGAGAAGATGGTGTTGCAAACGTTATTCCGCCTCACGTACGGTGGCTAGAAGCTAAAAAGTCTCCTACCAAAAAAACTTAAACTTTGACAACGTGCAAGCTAGTTGGACCCTTACGTCTGGCTGGGTACGTGCAGCGTGTCCGTTAGGAAATTAGAGTCTGGAAAGATTGCGATTCCAGCCTTGTGATCTGCGCGGTTGCCCCATGAGTCGGGGCAATGTGGTTGACTATCATTGCCTCACTAATAGAACGCCTCACAATCCTTAGATTGGAGCAGAAACGTGCACAAGAAGAACTTGGGTCCCTCTCTCCCTCTCTTTTTTTTGATGCAGCCGGGCCGACTCGAAGTTGGAGCATTTTATTTCGTGGTATTCCACGTCGATCTGTGGGTAACCTGAAAAGAAAAGAAAAAAGCCATTTCGGATAGGCAACGTTGTGTGCACAAGTGACGGCGTAGGTTGTGGTTGGGCAGCTGGGAGGCGCATTCAGCTGTGTTCATCCTTGTCGCAGGATTGCCTTGGTTGGCAGAGAGTCGCATGTCGCTTGCGTTGGAACAATATTGGCCGACAAGGCTACCATTCCTGCGGAGAAGGTTGCTGCGGCCTAGCCAGGTCTATTCTTTCTAATCCAGAAGTGTAAGCACAATGTAGCAGTAGAGTGGCATGTAATGGGACAAAAGGGGACAGGGGAACGTGGAAGCACAAGGACAAGCCGGCACGATCTACGCAAAAGTGGTGTCTGAAACCGGCAAAACGTTAGCTGGTGTGTCTATGTACAAGGGAATAGCATGCGTGGGTTGTGAGAAACGGCCCGAAGGCAGGTTGAAGGAGGATAGCGGCAGATGGGACGTCGACCTCCTTTCACTGGCTTCGTGTTTGGAAAGCCAAAAAATCCCCCCACCTTCCGATACACATTCGTTGTCATGCCAGCCCCCTGGTAAGTCTCTGTCTAGACTAGACCAATGTTGGCTGTCTTTTTTTACCTTTGCGCCGCAGCCAGTAGTGCAGGTATCAGGCTGTTGTAGCGTTGTCACGGGCGCAGCCGCCTCAGCCCAAAGTGCGGGCTCCAATGCTGTCGCTGGCCACGCCATCAATGACTTGACTGCGGGATCGATTCGAGTCAGCCAGCATCACGCCAATCGTGGGCGCCTTGCAGGTATGGCACAGGTTTGGAGCAAGCCAATCGCGTCGACCTAGCGAGTTTCAAAACAGCGTGGATGGGGAGTGGAAGAAATGGGCGGGAGGGCGCATAAAAGAAATGAGCGGGATATTGGCATGACTGCGGGTGCCTGATTGGCCGCAAGGATTGCCGGAAGTTAATCCACGGCAATCCCCCACCAAGATTTCCGAACTTCTGGCGTGTTTGCAAAGGTGATCCAGATAAGCCATGGGTGAGCATACGAGTGGCTGTAAGGTTTCCCCTACCACGATCAAATCGAGTAATCGAGCATTGCCATGCAGTCATGTGCTATAAGGCCTAAGCCCCTCACCGCGCTTTTACATCTGCCAGTCGTCAGCATTTTCTCACCCTCTCGCCTCTCTCTGTCTTTATTTTTATTTTTATTTTTTTGTCCGGAACGTTGCGTAATATCACCACTCTCTTGCCAGCTGTTCTTTGCGCCGACTACAAGAACATTTGTAGTATATGCGATGCACCACTCGTCGAACCTGAGCCCACTATGACCTCACGACAACCGATACGTCCTCCCACATTCAAACAACCCGGTGGATAGCGATACACTATTTGCGCTCAGCGACTTGGAGCGTCCTTTTGCCAGCCGACGATGACATTGCCGTTCAACCAGGAATCATGGATCTGGTACACATGCGCGGTTTGCATGATCGGAGCGAGGCTGTAAGTGGTTTTTTCCCGGTTCATGGTATTGGGGTAGCAGTCACGGTGCATCGAACAAATGTCCGAGAAAACGGAAATAAACTTTCCGCATTAGCAACATAGTTGGGGGTGGCTTCTGCTTGGGTACGCCGACATATGGCCTCGGAGTTGCTTTCCTAGCGTGGTCGATCTACATTTACTCGCAACTTGCACAACACGTCACAATACCTGGTATGCAATGACTAACCGAAATGCATCAGTATCTCTCGAAGGATCCTATTTCGATCCATCAAAGGGCTGCAGTTCGATGATTACATCATGGGCCTCTTTGTTACGGCCGCCTACACCGTCTTGCTTGTGTTTGCCAACAGATGGCTAAAAGTCCACTCGAACCTAGAACCCCCAGGATTTGACTTTGGCGCCCTCGGCCCTGAAGAGCTGTCGAGACGGGTGTATGGAAGTAAGTTGGTAGTTGTGGTAGAGCAGATGCATATTGCAGTGCTCTGGTCATGCAAGGCCTGTCTTTTGATCATGTACCACCGCATAACACGGACGGCGCTCCACTATGAGAACATTGCGATCAAGGTTCTGGCCGTATATACCGCGATTGGTTTTGTCGTCATAGAGGTTCTCTACTTTTCAGCCTGGTGTCGTCCGTTTTCCGCATACTACGCGGTGCCGACCAGCTCGCTGCAGTGCACGACGCTAGTTAACCACCGCATCACGAAAGCAGTCTTCAGTATATCTTCGGACTTGAGCATGCTTTTCATCTCGCTGCCGATGCTTGTGCGATCGCTACTACCGGTGAGGAGGAAGATTGTCCTATGCGGCATCTTTTCTCTGGGACTCTTTGTCGTGATTGCCAGTATCGCAAACGCTTACTCTTCCTTGACCCATCCATACAAGGCGACGTGGATCTCATGGTATATCCGGGAGTCGTCGACAGCGATCCTGGTGGCTAATTTACCTTTTACATGGAATGTCTTGAGAGAATTCTTTGAGGTCGGGCAGTTTGACGCGTCTCCTCCTCCGGTGTGGACTTATCATTCGGCTCGCACAGCAAGAGGTCGCACGACAACACAGCTACTGAGCCAACAGATGGGCACGACCAATGGCACTTATGCCACCAGCACCAACCCAAGCCGAACGCGACGAAGCACGAGTCTGGTGATGTCGACCGAGGTCATTCCACCCAAGAACAGCCACCAATCTGAAGACGCCAGGACAGATTCGATGGAAGAAGCAATTGGGCTTCAGGACTTTGCGCCAGTAGTTTTGCGCAGCACTAATGACGGCGTCAAGATTCTTGACCTGGAATCAGGTCTAGTCAACAAACTGGACGCACGACCAGTTTCGTATCATCACATTCAACCAAGCAACAACTTTATGTCTGTTCCGCAGACGATTGTACAAGATGGAAACGGCGGCTTCTACATTGATGGCCGCCCCATCTCCTCGCCGTCCATGGCGCATATTACTGTTTCCTCGAAGCGGACAAGCGCGAATAGTGTGACGAGCTTGTTTCGGAGGGCAAGCAGTCCGGTGCCGAGTTACTCGACTACGAAGACGGATGACGAGGCTGGGCGCAAGGATAGCCCGGGAAATGACGGCGGGGAAGTGACGGCGGTGGCGGACAAAGGGAGGGATGCGACGGATGCAAAGGCAGGATGGCGGACGATGGAATGAATGCGGGGGTATGCTTCCGGGACGTGACGAACGTGATGCTAATGTTAAAGATACCCCTTTTCTTTTGCGGATATTCTTTTTTGAGGCAGCAGCAGTAGTAGTAGTAGTAGTAGTAGTAGTAGAGATGGGACGGTAATGTAATACAATCTTGTTCCAGTACCACCACTATGGTGTCTTCCACGCTACTTGTTCAATGTGCATGTAACATCAAGACCGTTGAAAAAGACGTGTCCACATGGCTGCTATGGCCCTTCACTGCAGCCCCGAAACCTACAAAGAGCAGTCCGATTGGGCCACTCGACTTTACCCGCCTGCAAACGGTATGAGGGGTCCCGGATGCAGGGCAAAAGGTAAGTAAGCTGTGTATGCGCATACACGCGAACGTACATATACCACCGCGATGCCCCGCCGTAGTATGCGGAGAAGGGGTTTGAGTAAGTATGCACACCACAGACCGGTGCTCGGAGCGATTTTCTAGTTCACCTACCACTACACTACTACTACCACTACTTACCATACCAAGTACTCAGCATGCTACCATCACATGTCGGGCCCGGTCCGCGTCCATCCGCATGCCCGCATGCCCGCAAACGTCATACTACCAAGCCTCATGTACCCCGCGTAATATGCGACACCGAATGACTTGCCGCGCGCAACGGCAATCAAAAACGCACAATTGCAATGCGACAGAGCAAGAGGGGTATTAGCCGTGGGGCCTCAGGTCTCCAAGCAATATGTAAGCGGGCTCTGGGCCTCTGCGACGAGCTCAAGACGGCTTGCTGTGGCCCTCGGCTCTGGTTATCCCGCTAGGCGACTCTTCGACTAAGTAAGAGCTGCTCGTCCCATCAGCCGAACATCGTCGCCTTTCTGACTGCGCATTCGAGACCGCGGCCGGAAACCACCACCTTCTAAAACGCGCTGGCAGCTGCAATCCCGAGGTTATCTTCTTGTCCTACACCTCCTTCGCAATGAGGCCGGCAGTTGCTGCCCCCGCGGCTATCCGCCATGCATCTTCAATTGCGCAACTCTCCCGTCGCCAGACTTGTGCTTTTGCAACTCGCTGCTTAGCTTCTCACTCGCCTGCGACATCGGCCCAACTTTTGAGCCCGCGACGACCAGCAACAATCACCGCCAGAACAACTCCCGCCAGCCTATACACTCTTGTCGCACAGCACAGAATGGCGTCGTCTTCCCCAATCAAGAAGATCAAGGTCAAGAACCCCGTCGTCGAGCTTGACGGTGATGAGATGACCAGGATCATCTGGCAGGTCATCAAGGACAAGGTACCACCAACACCACAGGAAATCAAATTGCGCGCCCGCAATACTTACCACTGCAGTTTATTCACCCCTATCTCGACATTGACCTCAAGTACTACGACCTGGGCCTGCCATACCGTGATGAGACCGACGACCAAGTCACGCTCGATGCCGCCGAGGCTATCAAAAAGTACTCGGTTGGCGTCAAGTGCGCAACCATTACCCCAGACGAGCAGCGTGTAGAGGAGTTCAAGCTCAAGAAGATGTGGTTGTCGCCCAATGGCACCATTCGAAACCATCTGTAAGTCACACATGCTTGCAACCAATTGCCCAAAATTTGCTAACGTCGCTTTAGAGGAGGAACCGTCTTCCGCGCACCCATTGTTATCCCCACCATCCCTCGTCTCGTCCCTGGATGGAAGCAGCCCATCATCATCGGCCGCCACGCTTTTGGCGACCAGTACCGCGCCAAGGACCGTGTCATTCCCGGCGAGGGAACCCTGGAAATGGTCTTCACACCAAAGGGCGGCAAGCCCGAGGTGATCAAGGTCTATGACTTCCCTGCCGAGGGCGGCGTCGCCCAGACCCAGTACAACACAACCGAGTCCATCTCAGGCTTCGCACATGCCTCGTTCAAGATGGCGCTCGACAAGAAGATGCCTCTGTACATGAGCACCAAGAACACCATTCTCAAGGCCTACGACGGAAAGTTCAAGGATGTCTTCCAGGAAATCTACGACACCCAGTACAAGAAGGACTTTGAGGCCGCCAACATCTGGTACGAGCACCGTCTGATTGACGACATGGTCGCTCAGATGATCAAGAGCGAGGGTGGCTACGTTATTGCCATGAAGAGTACGTATTTGCCCTGCATGACCCTGAGGATATCTGCTAACAACCCGCCTAGACTACGACGGAGACGTCCAATCGGACATTGTCGCCCAGGGTTTCGGCTCTCTTGGTCTCATGACTTCCACACTCATCACCCCAGACGGCAAGACGTTCGAGGCCGAGGCCGCGCACGGTACCGTAACCCGCCACTACCGCGAGCACCAAAAGGGCAGGGAGACATCTACTAACCCCATTGCCTCCATTTTTGCCTGGACACAAGGTCTGGCCAAACGTGGCGAGCTCGACAACACCCCTGAACTTGTTGTCTTTGCCGAGACGCTCGAGAAGGCCTGCATCGACACGGTCGACGTTGACAAGATCATGACCAAGGATCTGGCGCTAGCGTGTGGAAAGAAGGACAGGGCAAGCTGGGTCACAACCAATGAGTACCTGGACGCAGTAGAACGAAGGCTCAAGTCGAGTTTGAAGGAAAAGCTATAAACGCAGGGAGCAGGCCAAGGACAAGATGGCATGGTTGAGTGATCACCCTACGTATCCAATGTTGAGCGCATATAGACGGATGAGTGCTTATTCCCATGTAGAAATCAAATCTATCAATTCTCAGGACATGCTTGTTTATTTTCGAATGCCGAAACAATAGTTCGTGCATAGGTTCCCTTGTTCCACGGTGACGCAAGTGGGTCAATGCTTGCTTGTTGCACATGTTGAGGCCAAACAAGCGCCACAGCCGTTTGCTGAACCCTCGAACACCTCCGATCACTCTGTCAAAGTCGCCCTTTGGCCTCACCGGCGGTCTATGCTCAGTCTAGCTGAAAGATAGACCGCTTGATGGCCGCTCCCATTGATATGAACCTCTGCTCTGGGGGTTGTCCCAACAAAGAGCAGCTATGGCCTCGATTATAGCACCAACATCGATAGCAGACCCCGCACCAGATGAGAACACAGACCCGTTGGCCGTGGAGAACAGTGCGTATTCATCGCCTCAAAAGCGCGTCCGTCCCGCTGCGTCGAGCCTGAGGTCACCTCTGGTTCGCGAACGATTCCTACGTGAAACGACAATGTCTGCAACACCACAGCCTCAGACGCCTACTGGAGGGTACAGAATGGTTGTTAGAGTTCGAAGCAACCAATTGCCAGCCAATCTGGAAGTAGGGAAGAACACTTTTCGCCCTCCGATGAATTGTTCATCTAGTAGGATCTCGCCTAAGAAGGATGCAATTGGGATCAGGGACAGTACTGCGGAGAGCACAAAAGAAGTGACGACGCCTACCAAAACGCTGTCAGCCAGTCCCCTGAAAATGCTGATCTCCACAAAGCCGAGCCCTGCGGAAGCCACTGTCAGTACGCCACCAAAAGCCACCGCCCCAAAACACGAATTTCGAACCGGATCTCCAACAAAAAAGCCGTCGAGTCTCTCGAGAAACCGGAGCTCCAGAAATCAGGGTTCTGATAAGTCTTCGTTTGAGACTTCGTTGAAAAAGGGTAGACCGGAAACACCCAACCACGAACGACCTTGCAGTCCAGTGAAGCGCACAATTGAGCTAGACTCGCCTTCCTCATCTGTTGACATGAGCCCGGATCTGGCTAGAAACCTAGTATCACATCCCAACCACTTGCTCCGGATGCTCTCAGGGTGTCTAGCAGACGCTACCATGGACGACGACTCAGCAGTGATACCCGTCAGACGAGCGATCCCTAACCCGAGCGAATACTTTACGCCAATTAAGAAAACACGAAAGCCAGTGAACTTGCAGCCGAAAAACATTGATGATATCACGGCGAACCTTGGAAGCAATAATAATAGTTCCGCCTTCGACTGGCCATTTTCCCCGGGTGTGGAGAGAAATCTTGCTTCGCCTACGCCTACGCCGTTGCGCAAGGCCTCAGAGAAGCTTCAGCTAGTGGGGTCAGGTTCATATGAGATGATATCGGAAGATGGTGCTCCATGTGCACCGGATGTGGCTGCGAGACTCAGCTTTGAGAAGGAGTTGTCTTCAATTCTCCCTTTGCAGGGGCTGGAGCAGATTGTCAATATGTCATCTGAGGTACAGTCCACTCAACTCCTGTCAGAATCTCGTATGGGTTGTTTTGCCGAAAAGACACAAGAATCGCAGACATCTCAATACGCTTCTTCGTATTGTCCGAGTACGAAACGACAACGCGACACGAGGGCAGATTCGGGGAAGCAAATTGAATGGAATGACGCAGACAAGGATACCTCAGAAGCGTCCGAGACACAAACTGATAGCTGGGACGAACACATAGAGACGAGTCTCAGCATATCATTGGAACTGGAGAAAGATGTTGACAACGCAAAGACGACTTCTTCGAGCATCCCAACCCCGGCACTTTGCGAACCTGTCAACTTGAGCGAGTTGCTGCCGATGCCGAACAGCGATTCCACCAGCGACCGACAAGACATGAGTGGCTCGGGCACGATGGCAAAGTCTACAACAGTCAAAAAGTTCAACTACAACATGTCGTCCCTGCCAAGAATTAAGACAAACTCTCCGACCAAAGTGGCCTCGACAAAGCTCCCGAGCAAGTCCACAATACCGCGGTGTCAGTCTAGCGGATACATATCAGCCAAGACAAAGGAAAACCGTCCCATCACAACTGAGTCACCAAATCTCAAAAGCGCAAATCTGAACAAGACAAAAGGCCCAGCAAGCACAATATCCCACGAACCCATCAAATCCATCACCACACCCATCAAAACCGCCTCAACCCTCCCCCGCCTCACCCGCACCTCAACCAAGCAACCCAGCACCCGCCTCCCCGTCACATCCCCCTGGAAACTCGAAAGTCCCTTCGCAACCCCTCCGCCTCCCAAGCGCCCCCTCTCCCTCCACATACCCCCCAAACTCGCCTCCATCCCAACCTTGAAACAAAAACCCTCAACCCCCAAAGCCCCACGACCTCTCTCCCTAGTATCGCCCCGGAAAACACCACTGCCATCCACTCGCCCAGACACCACCGCCTCGGCGACTCTCCCCAGACGCTCACCCACGAAACTCCCAAAGGCAGAACCCACAACATGCGCCCCCAAAAAAGTCCACGCCCAACAGGAATCCACAACGCCCTCCACAACCCCGCCAGCCCTTCTCCTCCCCCCAACCGCCCCAACTCCACCACCCATCCCCACCCTCCCC